GACCAAATGTTACATTTAATTACAGATTCAATCAACAATTAATTTTCCCTGATTATCTATGACTTCCTTCCATCTATTAACAACCTTACTAATTCCATTACTGCAAAATTCTTTTGGCTTTGGTTCGAAGAATTCACAAATGTCAGTTTTAACCTCTTCCTGTGTTACAAAAGCTGTTTCTTCCAAATGATTCTGTAAGCTACGAAACAAATGATAGTCTGAATGAGCAAGATCGGGAGAATAAGGTGGATGAGGAATTTTCTCCCAACCAAGTTCTTCGATCTTTTTTGACGTGATTCTTTCTGTGTGAGGTCGCGCAATGCCCTGATGAAACATCACCTCTTTTCGAGTCACTAGAGCAGGTCTTTTTTCCTCAAAGCTTGGTTCAAACGCTCTAATTGCTGACAGTATATTTGAGAATTAATTGTTGCATTAGGTGGTAAGAATTCAAAGTGGATTATTCCTTGGCGATCCCACCAGATTGAAAGAAGAACCTTTTGCCCATGAAGTTCTCTTCACGGCTGTGGCTGGGATCCTTTCCCTTTACCAAACCACTGTCTACGACGCTTAACATTTCGATAAAGGATCCATTTTTCGTCGCCAGTCACAAGTCTATCCAAAAAAGGTGAAACAAGTTGGCGAGAATGGAAAGAAGAGCAGATGTCAACTTGGGATTTGAGGTTGTTTTCAATTCATGAGGCGCCCATTTTCCAAGTTTAGAAACTTTTCCAAGTTGTTGAAGATGACGATGAACAGTTGTATGGTTAGAACTGAGAACCATTGCTAATTCCTCAACTGATAAAGCAGGATTTTCTTCAAGGGCTGCTTCAAGAAGCTTTTCATTAAACCCAACTGGACGTCCGGTTCGATCTTCATCTTCAAGGGAGAAATCTCCACCTCTGAATTTTGCAAACCATCTTCTGCAAGTTCTTTCATTCACACATTCCTCTCCATAAACTGAGTGAATGTTTCTAGCCGCTTCGGCTGCTGAGTTTCCTTTCTTGAACTCATAAAGAATTATGTGCCTCAAATGATTCTTGGGTACTTCCATTTTAGCAGGGTTTTAATCAAACAAAATTTAATTTTATTGTTCTCTGAAATAAAATTTGATCAGTTTAAATGCATCTAAACATAAAAATAATGTTCAGCTCCATTAGACATTATATAATACGCTTTAAATTTTGTTCATTTTAACAAAAAGTTAAAATTCGGACAGAACTTATGGAATGACCTGATACATGTGCAGAGGTTGTGAAGCACTATTTATGGACCTCATGCAAAAACCATCAGAAATTGCCATTAAAAGCTGATGAGTACAGGATCAGTTGTCGATAACTAAAGAAGCGGTCGTCTTCGGCATTCGGTATGGGAAATTTTCACGACGATTACAAACACATGTGGACAAGTCTAGTGCCTATATAGAAATTTAAGTCTGTACTAAACATCTACCGTTATAATGTATTAAAGTATACAATGAAGTTCGTAACAATTTAAAATAGGGATTTTCTTTCCACCCATCCTATAGTCGTTGGTATGCGTTTTTTTTTTTATTTTATTTATTATTATTTTTATTTATTTACTTAATATTTTTTGTGCATCTAACAAGCTTGTTTCTTTAGATACATTATGTTATCTATGTTTTATATAATACACGTATTTACATTTTTTTTATCACTGATGTTTCACAATATAGCAATTTTGAGTTTTGCATTTTTAATATAATGCAGTAAAAAATTTGTTTTCATGTCTGCATTTTGTATCGAACTGGAAAGGTGATTATAGTTATTTTCTCCTCCAGAAAAAAAAAAAGTTTACAGTTTCTTGAGTTATCGTTGTATGCTGCTTGTGTTTTATTTTTAATTTTCCATGCTATTTTGACTTATTTTTGTGATTACCTTCTATGCTTCCATATATGTTTACTGAGGTTGATTATGCCATAAAACAAAACAACTAGCCAACATCAATATATGTTTAGAGAGTGTTGCATTGTTTAAGTATTTACTACCATTAAAGGTTGTTTTGTGTACATAATTTCCAATGCCCTTCAGTTAATTCTATCTATATTTATTCTTCGTTATTTGACCTTACTAACCATAATAGCCTAGTGACTGACGTATATAAATACTCAAGCTAATATAAAACTCACATTGACTGAAGATTGCATTCACTCGTGAATGTCGCCATTCAGTTTCTCTCTCTCTCTCTTTATCTCCAGATGAAGTAGTCAAAATTTTGGAGGTCTCACGAGACTGAACACCAAATCTTAAGCGTTACATGATCGCGAGAATTGCCAAATTGCCAAACCGTAGAAAACGAATTAATAAATCGACAAAAACATTCACAAAAGGTAATATTTTATATATTGTTTCGCAATAGAATTAATATTATGTTTGGATCATTATTATTATTATTATTATTGTTATACTTTTCTCACAATAAGCAATAACGTAAATCATTATTAATGTATCATATGTGTAGTTATAAAGATTATACTGTCAACAGCGTTATGTATCATTTATATACTTATTCATGTATGTACCTCAATAATGTTTTCTGGCTTTAAATAATCTGCAAAGTGTCGATAAACTGTAAAAAAATCAATCAAAGAGGATTTCCTGTTTGATAGTTTTCATGAGGCGTTTTTGTTTTAATCAATTCACCCTAAGCAAGGCGATAATGCAACTAAGACAAAGGAGGCTATTGCAGGAATGAGAAATATTTGCAAGGAACCGGATACCCAATCCGAAGGAATAAACCTCTACTCCTGTTTAAAAGATCGTGGAGAAATATGAACCGGACGATAGGCGAAACTATTGAGAAGAAACATTGAGACGGAGACGTTATAAGTATAGAGCGGAAGGAAACTTTAATATAAACTGGAAAGTCAATCTTATATAGGAAATAAAAATTTTAAAAAATAATTAGTAAATAAAATATCAAAGTTCAAGTAGAGACTTTAGAAATATAGAGAAGACTTTAGAAAAAACCGGAAACTAAATCCAAAACAGGAAACAAGGAATAAAATTCTCACCTGTTCAAAAGCCCGTGAAGGGTGTGAACCGGACAATAGACGAATCTATCTATTCTATTCCGGAAAAAATTAAGAAGTAAATAGTAAATAAAATTTCAGAGTTCAGGCAGAGACGTTAGAAATATAGACTTGAAGAAGACGTTAGAAGGAACCGGAAATCCAATCCAAAACAGGAAACAAGGGATAAAAGTTCACTTCTGTTAAAAAAAAAAAACAAACTCGAAGGAGTTTGAACCATACGATAAGCGAATCTATCTACTCCTATTAAGAAAAAAATAAAAGTTAAATAATAAATAAAATTTCAGAATTCAAGCAGAGACTTTAGAAGTATAGAGTTGAAGTAGACTTTAGAAGGAACCGGAAATCCTCTCCAAAACAGGAATCAAGTGAAAAAGAGTCTACACCTGTTTAAAAGCCTCTGAAGGAGTGTGAAGCTGACGATAGTGGAACCTATCTACTCCTATTTAGGAAAAAATTAAAAAATATTTAGTAAATAAAATTTAAGAGTTCAGGCGGAGACATTAGAATTATAGATATGAAGTAGACTTTAGAAGGAAACGGAAACCCAGTCCTAAATAAGAAACTAGGGATAAACCTCTTCACCTGTTCAAAAAGCCCGAGAAGTAGTTTGAACCCAACGATAGGGGAATGTATCTACTACTATTATAGAGGCCTCTATTTTAATGAATTATAATGAGATGAAGTATATTAAATGTAATTATTTTTGCCAAAGATATTTCGGCAAACAAATAACGAAATACACAACATCGAAAAGAAACTTAGATTGCAACGATGATATGCTTTTTATTATTTGTGTAATATATAGAAGAATGCAAATGTCCATGGACATTTTTTTTTGTTCATGAAACGAAGATGGGAAGTCATATTTGAACACATACGTTTCGGTCTGCGGATTGGGATGAAATTCCGGTTGGAATTGTCAAGCGAACACTCTAGAAAATAATAAATTGAAAATAAAAATGGATATAAACTGAATGTAACGGGATGGAATAACGATTAGCAAGAGATATATTGATTAAAACCCACATTCATATGAAACGCTGTTATCATAATTGCTTTCTGAAAGAATAAGAAAGGCTGAATTCTCTTCTTATCAAAACGAATTTATATTAATACACTCTTTGTTTTTTCATAAGCTGAAGACATCAAAGAAAGCTGTTTTCAATGGAATTATCTAGAATGTTCCTTATGCATTATCGACGTCTTTGAATTTCTGATCTATATTATTGATAATAGACAACGTACGACGATAGTTTTTAGTTTCCTTTTTTTTAACGAATTACTAATGTTACTAAACGATTGGCGGAATTTCTTATTTCATTTTATGTTATCGATTTTTTTAAACTTGTATACTGTTAGTAGCTACACAATTGATATAACATACTGGTGACAGTATAACGTCGATAGCTAGATAAATGATACATAACACTGTTGACAGTATAAGCACACATATGATGCATTTCTAATTATTATGTTATTGGATATACTGGATAAGTCTGAGAAAATAATAATAATAATAATAATAATAATGGTGATGATAAAAATAATATTAATAATAATCCAAACACATACCAATGTAATATAAAATTCATTGAGATACAACATACAAAATTTTTGCATTTTGTTAACGTTTTTGGTGACTGATTCATTTTTTACGGCTTATCAACCGGCTTATACGGCTTATCAAGCACGTTATTTAATACCGGAAAATATATTTAGAATGTGAGAATTTTGTTGGGAAATTATAATAGTTTAATGATGACTAATTAGCCAATAAATAACGAAGTGATTACTAATTAGCCAATTTTGGGGTAAGAAGAAGCAGATTCATAACTTTTCCAAGAGTATTTGTGGGTAAGTGAATATAACAAAACCAGTGGGAATTGGAACACAGCTCTCCGATTAACAATTTCAAGCCATTATTTATTACACCACCCGCACATACAAGCTTACAGCACCTACTATTCCCAAGCGTTCACCCACCTAGGTACTGACCAAGCTCGACGTTGCTCAACTGCGGCGATCTTTCGCGAACCGGTGTTTCAACGTGGTATGGCTTTTATCCTTAATCCTTTTTGCGAATTAATAATTAATGTCGAGTTCTGTCAGTACACAGTTGTTTTAACATCCGTGATCATCCGGTGTTTTTTGGTTGTAGAACGATCAATTTCTAGTTTCAATAAGGTGCGAAGTTAGCAGAAGAGGGAAAGATGAGTCTTTTTTTGACTCTCCACGTCATGGAGGGAGAAAAAGGCCTAGAGTTTCATATCTTCCGCTGTGATAGCAGGAAGTCGTTTCTGCGAGAATCCGGAACTCTATTACATTTAGGGTTCGGCGGAAGTAGCCAGAGCCTTCACATCTATTACTCCTATGCGTGTGCTTTGACCAGCCTGTGTGTATGCTTTAAATTACTACGCGTTTCACTCTTGTCAGTATTATGTAAAAAGATATACAACTATTACGTTACATAAAAGTATAAAGCAAATAATGCAGAAATGATACATGGCATGGTTGTTAGCATTCTGGAAACAGTTACATAATTTATGCATTACAATGTTGGTAGTGTAACATACATTGGCACAGAAGGTATACTTGAGGCAATAGATCTATAGCTCTACACAAGGATGTTAAGATAGATGGCGCATGTAAACAATAATACGTTTTAGGGAAATAAGAACATGGGCGATGTTAGCTCTCCAAATCTTGTTGCACTTTGCATGGCTTAAAAGTAATTTATTCATAATTATCCCCGATTTTCTGTCTTGCCATTCATTTTCATCAGCTCGTTAGTTAGGTTAATCGCTGTTTAACTTTGTCAATCTTGCTTTCAATATATCCAGTGAGTGTCGAATTCCCCAAGCATGCTTTCCTCATTATATGAACAAATTTCAACAGTGTCGGATTCTAAGCTCGATTTTGTTTCATTTTTCTTTAAAACTTTCTCTGTTCATGGTGTTCCCGTCCTCCTCCTGTAGAACCAGATTTCTGTTACATCTTCTCTTCCCCTGTGAGACATTGTTCAGCATTCAGTGCCATATAAGAGGAATGATATTAAGTATCAGTTCGGCACACGTCTTTATTTTTAAGGAAATTTAACTGTTTTTATTTTATTATTTAGTTTTTGAGTGGCTCTTTCGCTATTTCAGTGTCTGTTCGAATTTCTGTGTCACATTTTACTTCGTCTGTTGAAACACGTCCTAGATATTTACACTTTTGTTATTGCTATATATATATCCGGGTGTAAAAGTAAAATTGTCCAAATCGTGTAACAGCAAAATTGTCCAAATCGTGTAACAGCAAAATTGTCCAGTTGTTAGGTTAAGATCTGAAATGATTAAAGATATCTTGTTGGGACAGTTGGACTCTACTTTGAGCAATAGGAATTTATAATTACTCTCTACGTTTAACAGAAGTATTGTGATTAAATCGGACATAAACGAAAATAACATATTCATCATTAATTAATCATACCTATGAATCGCAAGCTAATCAAGTATTGAAATAAAGTTCAAATACATACAGATATATATATATATATATATATATATATATATATATATATATATATATATATATATATATATATATATATATATACTATTAGTGGAAAATATACATACATATGCAAAATATATAGATACCCATACATGTATATTTTTGAATAAAAATTCCAAGAGGATAGAATCCAGGTAGAACTCAATGTCCAGGACAGAGTAAGGATATAATAAAAAGGCTTAAACACTAATATTCCATGGTCATAATTTATTCCATTGGAATCGTAAATACGATCCAATTCATCAGACCTACAAATTCAAAAAGTTTACTTTCCTTCGCCCCATCTCTCTCCCCCACCTCGTCTTTCCCTCCCTCTCATTCTGATCTTCAACTTCAGACCGTCTATGGTGTGTGTATGTCACCACGAAATGTATCTTTATGCATTAGACATCCGACAACATTCATATTTCTCTTACTTAAACCTTCCACCCATCTCTCCTAAAATTCTCTCTGTTAAGGTTTAATCTCCCTCCTCCTCATACTTACACTCTCTCTAAATTCTGTTTTTATTTCCGGAGTTGTTTCTTCTGTTATCTTTTTGAATTTGTAGGTCTGATGAATTGGGTCGTATTTACGATTCCAATGGAATAAATTATGACCATGGAATATTAGTGTTTAAGCCTTTTTACTATATTTTATACATACATACATACATATATATATATATATATATATATATATATATATATATATATATATATATATTATTCCAGGATCATTTCAACATTCAAGATGATATTCGCCCTTTCTAACTTTCTAACATTCTGTCCTGGAGTATCAAGGTGCCTCACACGTTTCATGTACGATCTCATTTTCAAGTAATTTTTACACTACTCTTTGCACTGCTGAAACTCCTCGCTCACGTGCCAAACGTCGTATGAATTGAGTTGGATCTTTTCTAATTGACCTCTTTAGTTCTAAGTTGAAATGATGATCCCTCTTCCCGTTGTGGACTCCTGATCAAGTTTTCTTCTCTGCTGTTCCTATTTTTTTAAACATATTCAGAGTCCTCTGCATAGTTCTCGAAATGACTTTGAAGATGGAAGCCAGAGTATAATTGTTGGTAGCATTACTGAAGGACTGAATGATATATATATATATATATATATATATATATATATATATATATATATACAGGACTCAGGGATCCCGATCTAATTTTCTTTGGGTTACAAGTTAAGCTATGGCTAGAAAACAATGACTGGGACTTTCTTCTGACCATCTCTTTAAACTCTGAGAAACGTTTTGATCACAGTCCCTGTTAGATTTGTTTTTGTTACTATTTTGTCATTCTAACTTTTTGAGACATTGAGCACTTTAGGTTTTTGCGTATGTAAATGTCTATTTTTGGGATGCTTTTTACGCTTTTTTTAATTTGTTTTCTTGCTTTCTATTCATGTGGATGAAGCTATTATACTTGTATTTTCTACTAATATGTTGTGGATTTTTGTAGGTTTTCGAGTGTGTTTTAATGTGTCCTAATTGAACTATGGTCGAGTATGTTTAACCTTAGTCGTCTAGATAGCCATGTAGTAGTGTGACCAATATAATTATTTATGAGGTTGTTTTGATCAAAAACTCAGTTCCTTATAGGGCAACTGAACTCGTAAATAATATTGGTTCTCGATATTTTTGATTTTGCTGTTGTATTTTTAATTTTAATGACAAGGTTAGCTCTTTTAATGTTTTTTTTTGCAATAGATAATTTAATTTTCTTGTTCTGGTCGACTTGGATAGTGCATTTCTTTATGATTTTTATGAATGAAAACTCATCTTTTGTACAAGATGCTAATATTTTTGTATTTATCTCTAAGTAAAAAAAGATTAAAAATAATGGAAGCTCTAATAATAAAAAAGGAAAAGTCAACACTCAGGAACATTAAGTACGAACACGGCCACAATGTGCTGATCGTGTTGGGAAGATAAAACATTCCTATAAAAACACATATTAAGTTAAAAATAAAGTCGTCCTTGATAATGGCTAAAATAATAACCGAAAGCGCTTGGATATGCAGAACTTTTGGACAGTTGTTATAGACTTTATGTTCAGAAAAGAAAACACTTGTACGAACACAAGTAAAAGTAAACAAAAAGCTTAATCGTTGTACCTTATCAGTCATCTTTAACGTAACATGTATAAAAGAGGAATTGTTGCCCAAATACACGATTATATATATATATATATATATATATATATATATATATATATATATATATATAATTTTAGGTTTCGATGCAGAAAACCACATTCATGCGTTCTGCTGTCCTGTATTCAGTTTGACCAGATATGTGGACTTAGAAACAGCTTCAGTAGCATCTTGCCTTATCGACTGAGTTATTACACCCATTATTATTACACCCATTATTATTACACCCATTGTTATTACATCCATTATTATTACGTCCATTATTATTACATCCATTATTATTACATTCGTTATTACATCCATTATTATACATTAGTACATTTACTAAAAAAAATGACAGAAGCAGAGACACCCACGCGCCAACACGCAAAAGCGCGCATGTCTTTTACTCTTTCTGAATATATAGGGTGACTCAATAATATATATATACACATTGTGAAGCTTTCTCTAGAAATGATTCAAATATACCTAATTTAAATAATGCACAGGAAGGCAGTATTTATTTTTAAATGCCTCCTCATAAGGTTTTGTCATCGCATATTTTAAAATTGATTTTCCCTATGATTCAGATATTGCTGACAACGCGGCGCAATCGAAACATAAGCAGAAATCGTATCACGCATGGCACACAACCAACATTGTTTGGACTGTTGTCCTCCTCTTTATTGCCAAGTTCACGACATTTCAGCCGTTGTGCGCTCCGGCCTACTGATTGGAATTTCGAACTGAATCCTTTATTTCGTCCACCGAGACAGATGTTTGTAGTTCAACGCGCTGTGCCTTCTTCAGGGTGTCTCAGTTATCTCCCTTTAACTCATCTCTCAAAGTTTTTGTTCACCACTGCAGAAGCTAGGTATTGAACTATCAACTCTTTACTTTAAAAAGACATTAAGAGATCAAATTTATATGTTCCAAGAATTCATACACTGATGACATCATGGACATTTGACCCAAAAGCGTTGATTGGATCCAGTGACTTGTCCAAAGAGTTGTGAGTTGAATATCTGTCTACCGCAGTGTTGAACAAAAACTTGGAGATTTGAGTTAAAGAGAAATTAACTGAGAAGTCCGGAAGAAGCATGGAACTAGAACAATCTTCTCCGGTGGTAGAGTACAAAATTCCAATCACCTGAAAAAGTCCGGAGCGTACAACGGCTGAAATGTCGTTAATATGGCAAAAAAATGTAAGGACAACAGTCCTATTAATGTAAATAATTCCAATCTCATCTCAGAAATATAGGCAGATATTAAAGTAGAGTTGTTTGATAGCTCCAGTTGATACATGTTTTTGTTACATACATATTTTGTTACAAAATCTTTATATAAATATTAAGAAATACTTGTATGCAATAATATTTATTAATGTATGTAGTTTTTTAAACTGTTAATTTATATTGGTCTTCAGTTATCAAATTACACAAATAGTCTTCCGTTATTTCTCCCCTCAGCACTAAAGAACAATGCCTCAATCAAATCTAGCATTAAAATACGGAATTAATTCTTAAATATCTGTACTAACCATGAATATTATACTTACGTTTTAATCGACTGGGGTCCCAATTGATACCCAGTATATAATTATAAAGTTTGGATTTCTTCTTATTTACCTTTTGTATTAACAGTGATTGAAAAAGGAGCTCACGAACCGGATATTAAAGATCAATGAGGGGTATGTGGCTCGCGAGCGGGGGTCTGGACCCCCCTGTTATATGTTGTGGGAACACATATTTCACAATGTACCAACTACGTATAAGGTTTATAGCGCTAAGTGACTAATTGCTTGCAAATTGATTTGTTTTTATTTCGGGCTCATAAAGAAAGATAGCAATGTGACGTCAAGAGGTCTCATCAATATTTAATTGAAAGTTGCCTTGTCATGTGGTTGTCTCATGGTTTAATTGGTAGGGGTTCACTGTACGTAAAAGGGAATACAGCATTGATTCATGTCAAGAATATTTTAGTAGGAGTTTCCGATTTGTTGATATTAATTTCACAGCTTAAAAATACAAGAATATGCATGCAAACACGTGTTCCCAGTAAAAAGCATATAGCGCTTACATAAAGCTTATATAGTAAAAAACATATAACACTTACATAAAGCATATGTAGTAAAAAGCACATAAAACGTATATAGTAAAAAGCATATAATGCTTATATGACGCTTATATAGTAAAAAGCATATAACGCTGATATAATGCCTATATATATAAAAAGCTTATTACGCTTATATAAATTTTATATAGTAAAAAGCACATGACGCTTATATAAAGCTTATATAAAGCATGCATAGGCACCTCGAGCTGGTGTAGTGGTTAGCAAGCTTGTCTGGCTAGAACAATTACGACTGAGCTGTGAGTTCGATCCTCACTGGGTGCCCCATACTTTCGGCCTTGTGCCACATCTAAGCTACGCTTGGAAAGTCACTATATAAATCATATATAAAGCTTATAGTAGTAAGAAACAAGGTCGAATTAAAAATAATAATTGCGTTAAAATTGCTTTGTTTAAGTTTCGAATGAGAAAATATATTTAGCAGACATGTTTTGACTGTTTTGTTTTTATGGTTTATCAACCCTTTTCAGGTTATTTAAAGTCAGAGAATATTTTTAGATTATAAGAATAAGAATAATATAATAATGATTTAATGATACAAGTCTTATTAATTAACCTACGCCTGGGGGAGAAGCGGTGGATTTATACTTTTTTCCAAGTAAGTAAATATAACGAAGCTGACTGGAATTAGAACTCTGCTCTCTGATTTCCAATTCCGTGACGTTATCCATTACCCAACTCATACATCCAGGCTTACAGTACGTGGTATTCCCACGCTATCATACATCTAGGAACTGACCAGACTCCCCGTTGCTTACCTTCGGTGATCGTAAGGGAACCGGTATTTCAACTTGATATGGCCACAAGCCTTAGCATATAGAGACTTCATATATGTGTATTCAAACGGTAATTGATTATTAACGTTTCGTGATGATTTTTCGTGGTCTAAATAGTTAGGGTAGAAAGTGATTTCCCTGATGGAAAAAAAGGGAATACAGGTTCTATTCCCGCCGAAGAGCGTTTTTTCTTTATTAGGCGGGTTGACATTAAATTCAAAGTTTTAGTTAAAAGGGATGTCTATTCAAAAACACATTAAATATAACGTTTATTGTAATAATAAGATAATAGGATGTGGGAATAAAGATTGGTTGAAAATCCGAGAGAATATCTTTGATGATTTTCGCAACGGTTTACAATAAAGAAGAGAATATGTGCCAATATCTTTTGGGTGGTGATGGAATGCAACTAAAATATTGAAATGCTTTGAGATGAAATCTCATATGTAAGAAAATTTAGGTAAAGCACAAATGCATGAATGTTATTGGCTTTTCCAACATGGTGAAATTTTATTTGAAGCTAATCAATGATGTGGCCTATCTATATTGGGAAGAAATATGTTTGCTACTCAATCAAAGATGATTGTTGTTGGACTGCTGCCGACAGATCTGAGGCGTGTTATTTGTCTTTGGATTTCATGCCAGTGAACATTAAGAGAAGATTTGAAAAAAAAAAAAAAAAGCAAGAAGATTTGAAAAAAGCAATTCGTGCCTTGTTTTTGCTCAGAAAGGATTAAAGAGAAAGCTAATCAAAATCCATGTCGCTATTTGAGATAATCCCAAATAATCTTTCACTCCAATGTTGTGGTGCTACGGGGACCATCCAGGACTGAGACAAGAAGCAAATCAAATGAAATAAATAAATGAATAAATAAAAAAACAACAATTGAAAAATACATATGAACGTGACGGGGGATCGATCCAGTGTCAAGATCATGTTGAAAAAGCTAATGAAAACAAATCATCCAATCTAAAATAATGTCGTGTAACAGGTTGACTCAGAATAATATTGACTGGTGACACGCTTATACAAACTACGTTTTCAGCTACTTTGACTATACAATACGCTAGAATTAACTGTTTTTCTCTGCTGAATGATGATGGCTCAGTGGTAGAAACTCTGACTGACACCAAATCGGTCGGGTTTAGGACCTGGCTTGACGCATTATGATGTCTAGTCACACCGAGGAGCTGTGATATAGCAAAAAACAGTACTGTCTGCGAATTATATATATATATATATATATATATATATATATATATATATATATATATATATAATTATTTATTTAAAATATGATTCCAAATCGCTACATAAGAGGTCTCATGTTTCAAAACTAGAGCCGAAAACTTCAATATAATCCTTTAAATTAAATTGAGTTGAAAGTAAAATGGGCTCCGTTCCATCCTCAAGCGAAATTTTTGTTGGAATAACGTATATCTGAAATTTACTTGTTTTAAAATTGAAATCAAAATCCCCATGGTAACAGCTATGGTGAATTTTCTAAATTGGGTAGGCGAGTGTAGGGTGTTTATATTGAGTAGCGGTATAGAGATACTTTCAAGGTGTCAAGTCGGGGAAAGTTCCTTCCTATTTTCTATATATTTTATATATATATATATATATATATATATATATATATATATATATATATATATATATAGTGCAGTTTAAATTATAATTACATGAATCATTCATAAAAAAAAAATATAGAGGTTAATGATTTAAATGGCGAGAATACATCTTCGCAAACAATTTCAATAGGATATACTAACCCCGAACCTGTATATGAATGATATGATCCCTATTTATAAATTCCAGTTTCCTAAGGTCTTTTTTAGTTTTTACAAGCTTTCGTCTGTTCCTACAGACATTTTCAGGTATGAAAATAGATTTGTTCTTGTTTTTTACTTCTCGGTAATAACGAAAATATAGATGTAATAACACATTTCTCATAGCATTTTTCGGTTTCGGGGTTAGTGTATCTTATTGAAATTGTTTGCGAAGAGGTATTCTCGCCATTTGAATCATTAACCTCTATATTTGTTTTTTGTATGAATGATTCATGTTAATTATATATATATATATATATATATATATATATATATATATATATCACAGGAAGAAATCAGCCTAACCTTCAACAATAAAATAAAAATACTATATCACGTAAACAGTAAAAAAGCAACTACAAATTCTAAAAGCATTAAGTATACAAACAAGCGAAAATCAATTAAATATTATTAAATTAAAGAACAAATATGCTACATAAGTTTCATAAATCCTAAAAAAAAAATGAAAGAAAAAAAAAACCCTGGAAATATGCGATACATTCATAGCATGTTTTTAAGACGTGATATTTGAAAAATGATGAAACGGGCTTAGGATTAAAAATATTTTGATAATGGTTCTGAAAGATGAAAGTACTTCAATATTGGCTGAACAGATTAAAGTTAAGCTTTCAACAAAAAACAAAGGGATCTATTTTTTATCAAAGTGTTTTTAAGACAAATGACATTTGCCTTGCTGACTCGCATCAAATGTCGGAACGCGTTCCTAAATAGTTTTCGTTTTGTCTTTAATCATATTGTCTTTTCAACACACACACACACACACACACACACATATATATATATATGCACACGCACACACACACACACATACATACATATATATATATATATATATATATATATATATATATCACTCAAATATGAGTGGGAATCTGATAATGATAGGATAAAGAACAAATGCTATAAATCTAACATATTTCACTTTTATTAAAATTTCATCATGGAATGAGATATGGAGAAAGAATGAAATTCTGGTATTTATATTTTTGTGCTGTTCTATTTTCATTGGTTAAACACGCTTCACGTCCATTTGACTTGTTAAGTAACGTGAGTATGAATTATGGCGTTCTGAACTCATGGAGCGATGAAGAGTTCTTTCGAATTACTTACGTGTTTTTCAGTTAGGCTTGGGATGCGTTGTTTTTGGGAGCTTCCAAAGAAACGCGACATTTCACCTTGAGTTCAGTACGCCATAATATATACTAACGCTGCATAACAAGTCAACTGTACATAAAACTTTCTTAACTAATGAAAATTAAACAACACGAATATAAAACTACCAACATCTCTTTCTTTACTTTATCTCATTCTGTGGTTAAGCTTTAATAAAAGTGAACCTGTTAGATTGGTAAAAGCTTTTCTGTTTGTTCTTGTTTTATATATATATATATATATATATATATATATATATATATATATATATATATATATATATAACAAGAACAAACAGGAATTTATCCATATATATATATATATATATATATATATATCAAACAAGAACAAACAGGAAAGTTTTATCAATCTAACAGGTTCATATATATATATATATATATATATATTCCATCGCTGACGTGCGACGCTGGCCTAGTGGCAAGATGTATGAATCCCGTCAAATCAGTCGGGTTTCGATTCTGCCTTGAAGCAAACGGACTTCTAGTCACCCCGTGTAGATGCGATGCAGCGAAACCGTCTGTCTGTTGATGTATAAATCCACAGCCTATTGAATAAGGAAGCATTTTTACATAAGTAATTTTTTTTGTTTTTTTCAATCTTATTTTTGAATGGACATACGACAACTTTTCCCCCATATATATTTGGATGTAAGAGGTGTATGACTTTACAAGAATCTGTCATCTTTACGTTTTCTTTTAAATTACTTTCGGAAAAAATTATTCTGTAGGAAAGAGCAGGTTGAAACAACTAGGCCGTCATTTTGTATGATGGGAAAACTACTATGATAAGGCTGTATTTTGTAAAAGACTTCTTATTTTCTTGCTAAAGAACTGGGAAATATGTTTCAACGTTAATTTCATATTCTGTCAGCTTTTAAACCATTTATGAAACGTAAAATTTGATCCGTTTCTCTAAAGTTGGAAAGAAAAATATAATTTTCAAAAAATTTGGAAAGAAAAATATATTTACAGCTCGACGCTCGCGTAAAGAAGTTGTCGTGACAAGAAAAATAAGTTCTGAATACCTTTTAATGAGTCTAGCGTTACCGCGCTGAAGATAATTTCGAAAAAGAAAGTAAGAACTGAAGCAACAAATTTATTCGATGACCGAATATTTGAGAATTGACGTTTGCCGCTTTCGTTCGCAGATGATTTATGGCTTCGAAAGGTTCGTTTTTTTTTTTAATTCACATTCAAGGATCAAGTTGCATCTAACTCAGACATTCAAGAATAATTATAAAAGAAAACTTTAAAGAGAAAATGATAAAGTTAGAGAGAAAAAGACAGATGAATAAAGAGTGAGTTTTTTGCACTAATCTTAAAGAAAGCGAGGGATGAGAATGAAAGAAAATGAAAAGACGGTCAGTAAAGTACTTCATCATATTTGTTTATTAAGTCTTCATGGAGTCAATGTTAATCGTTTTATTTTTTTTTATTTTCTCAGCTTTTTATATATTTTTTTATTCATAAACATACTTGCACACACATAGCATTCAACATAGAACCTGATTTACTAACTTATTTTCGTAGGCTAGTGTAGAAAATTGAACTCAGTTGGCACTCAGTCCAGGACAAACGATCACCGTAATATACATATATAACCATCTGCTTCGGGTAGATAGAGGGTTGACAGCCCAGGAAGGTAATCCATCAAAAGGAAGGAAACCCTAATTTGAAACCTCCGCTGCCCTGCGGTACTATCCAAACATGTAAAAAGGCTATGGAAGTCAATCCAGTGAGAAAACTCGGAGTGTAGTCCCGAGAGAGGTTTGTTGTTCCTTCCATATACCATCGTCCAAGCTTGCGTTATAGTCTCATCACCAAAGCACTGAATTGTCGTCAAACAGGGTGTTACCTTTATAAACAGATGCCTACTATATATATATATATATATATATATATATATATATATATATATATATATATATATATATATATATATATATATATATATATATATATATATATATATATATATAAGCAAATATATGGATATAGATCCGAC